CTTTTGGCCTTTTGAATTAAATCCTCTTGTTCCTCAATATTGTAAACACCCGTAATACAATTATCTACATAGAACGAATTTTTTAATTTGTCAGCCACATCTAAAAAGTCAGATGGACAATTATTCAAGAGATATTTAATAGACGCACCTAGTAGATAAGGGCTGCAGGAAAACCCAAAAAAAACTACTCTGCAGTGCCTATACACTATTTCTCCCTCATCACTTGGATAGAAAAATCGCAAGTAATCTCTATCCTTCGGAGAAATTCCTAACTGCAAGAATGCTTTCTCTATGTCTGCACTCAGACCAATAGGAAAAAATCTCATTCTGTCTAAAATATCAGGGACTAATTCTATTAAATTAGGTCCTTTCAATAAAAACACTGATTCAAAGATGGTTTTCCCTTTTCACAAGATGAAGCATCAAAAACGGGTCTTACCTTAGTGCTTTCACTATTCATCTTAATAACCGGTCTGTGTGGTAAAAAGTGGCATTTATTGTTTAATTCCTTTTCCGGAACCTTTTCTATAATATTTAAATTTTCCCACTCTCTAAACACTTCTTGATATTCCTTCAAAGAATTATTTTTTTTTTTTGCCCTCTTTATCATTTTTTGATGACGTGTCAAAGCAATGCTTTTATTATCTGATAAATTGGTAGATTCGCATTTCCAAGGGTAATTCTAATTCATATCTACCATCGGGCCGAATAGATAATTTATTCTGAAAATCAATCTCGTAGTCGCAATGAAAGATTTTTCGTTTTACTATTTTCCGTCGGGTCGGAAATACCCAAAACTTCAAGCTCCCATAAAGATTTCAAAGAAGCATTATTTACATGTAAGGAAAGACTTATTAGGGCATTATCCCTGACAGTATCATTTTCTTTACCCATAACCGTCCATCCAACCCAGTTTTGTTTTGACTGCAGTTAAACCAGAGGGTAATTCTAGGTATTCGTCAGTTAACAGTTTACCAATGACATCTGCACCTATCAATAAATCAATTTCACTTTCCTCGCAAAATGTGTCACTGACCTCAATTTTCCTGCTTTTCAATTCCTCTATAATCTGAGCATTCTTGATTGTTGGAACAAATCCACATATCTTTTTTTCAGAAAAAGCTTCAAAACAACACCTAAAAGTGTTATCTAAACTGCTTATGTCAATAGCAAAAACAGAATGGGTTACAGGCGCAGTTTCCCTCCCCCCAAACAAACCATGAATTACTTTCTCCTGTCGAATAGGATCAGCCTTCATTCGCTTCATAATTTTCTCCCCAACGTATGATCGTTGGGATCCCGAATCCAAGAGAATTCCTAATTTTTCTCTCTCGATCTTTAACTTTAATTAGAACACATAAAGTTTGCAAATAAACTTTCTCGCTCTTACTATTATTAGAAAGGGAAACATCCAACTTAGAGTCATTTTGTTTTACAGAACTAACATTCTGAGGACACATAAATTTTATATGATCACAACTGCAAATGGGGCATTTAATATTGGCTTTACATTGGTTTTTTAAATGGCCAATTCTTAAACATGAAAAACAAACACCTTTCTTTTGTACAAGTTGCCTCTTTTCATTTAAGCTCATATTTTCAGCTTTAAAACACTTAGCACTCATATGAGGCTTACCACAAAATATACAAACATTTTGCTTACCTTTACTGGTTTCATTTGTACTTACCAGCGCGGCAGCTGTTGCTAAATCTGAATTACCTGAAATAACATTTTTATTAAGACGCTTAACAGAATGAGTAAATCCTGATTGTGCTAATCTAATCATTTCTTCCGATTCTACTTCATGCCTTAAAAAAACACATTAGTTTTTCAAGCGTTCTTTCAGAACTCTTTTCCTGTCCCTGTTCAGAAGTTCGACTCCGCTCCCAGGCCACGTAGAATATTCTCAGGTAGGCACGACTCCACTAAAGGTCCAAGAAATCAGCAAACTTTTCCTTGGTGCGTCCTAAGCTTTCCAGCGCTCGTAATTTACTTTCTATACTATCATAAAGTACTCCTAAGTCCGACGCCGTTCTGCCTGTGTTGTAGCATTCTTTGTAACAAGCCCAAGCAAATCTCTTACATAGATCTGCACCAGAAGGTCTTCTCTACCAAATCTTTCTTTCAGCTGCTCGATAGCTTTAGGATAATTCGCGGCGGCGGTAACAGGAAAACTGTTCAAAAGTTGAGCTGCCTTTGAGCCAGGTACTGCACACTTTGCACTAAGTACAAAAATTTATCTTCCGGCACAATATCCGCATCTTCATGAATTTTGGAGAATTGGCTCCAAAAGCCTAAAAATTCTCTTGCATCTCCAGAAAATTTTTTTCAGCTCAAGCTTAGGAAGTTTGAACTTCCTGTTTTTATTTTCTTTAGGATCCGAAATCGAAACTGAAGCAATATCTGTAGTAACATTCATCGAATTCAATTGTCCAATTTTATTCTGAAGTTTTCACCTTTAAAGCTATAAAGGAATCTCTGTATCCTTCAGCCGTATTAAATTCATTTTCGAAATCCAGCTTCCTTGGTTTGTTCTAAAACACTGCTTTGAGTACTGTCCAAGCGTTCAAATTTGTCAATTAGTTGCCCCAACAACACTTGCAATCTCTCAGGATCCGTACAAGTAGGCAATTCTTCTTCCACAATCTTCGTAGTTAACGTAAACGAAGTATACGTTCACTTTTACGTTTTGCTTTTAAGAACTCCATTTTAACAAAACGCCTAAATCAAAACTACTCGAAATCACACAAACGTCCTGTCAAACGGACGCCAAACTTTTATGTTGAAACTAAATAACGTTTGCATAATCCGAGTTCAGAAAACAAAACATTTATTTTACATATTTTAAAGAAATAACGTTCTGAAACAACATGTTTCATCTACACAATCAATCGACGCTCTCACCAGAGCATTACGCCATCAAACTTGGCACACATCCAAAAGTTCAAATTGAAGAATTACAGAAGAAGCGTTGTTGCCACACAAGAAGAAAAGACATTAGAGTTACAACTTCACACAATAATAAAACAAAAACACACTTTTGAAAAATAGACAATAATAATAAAAATAGTAATAATAAAATTCTTAACAATATTTTCTCGATTATGCAACAATTACAGTCATAATATTTTGGAGGCCCGACCGGATCGAATAATCGTGCGTTTTATTTCATTAGCATCACTGAATATATATTGATACCAGATTATTACTTCCTGTAATATTGAATTGCTTTATTTTATTAGTTCATCATGACGCAATATTAGTGATACCAGTATACTTCGTTGTATTGTTCTTTTATATAGTTCATTGAACCGTCCTGTTGAATTGAATTGTCTTTTTTATTAGTTCATCACTGAACATAATTGAATGAACCGGTTATTATTTCCTGTTAATATTGAATTGCCTTATTTATTAGTTCATCACTGAACGTATATTAGTGATATCGGTTATTACTTCCGGTGATATTGATTGCACTGAACGTACCTCCTGTTGATATTGAATTGCCTTATTTTATTATTCGTCACTGAACGTAATTAGTGATATCAGGTTATTACTTCCTATTAACACTGAACTGCCTACTTTATTAGTTATCTTTTGAACGAATTAGTGATACCATTTTAATGCCGTTTCTACTAGAGCTCAAAGAAAAAAAAATAGTTGAAGAGAAGATATTGGAACCGATGAAGGAAGAAAATAAAGCATCCAGAGATGCCTTTGAAGAAGATGTTAAATCACCGGAATTAAATGTGGAAGATGTTCACGTAAATTTCAAAAACGATAAAGAAATTAACATTGAGAATCATTTGACAATGCAGCGTTAGCATCATTTTTCGACTTTCGATTTAATATCAAAGCCGCTACTAATAGACGAAGAAAACAATTGTCGAATTTAAATGACAATTGAATATTATCCGAAAGGCACAGATGAACTGAGGAAAAGTTTTGCTGTGAATTATAGCCGAGGAACTGGTCCAACATGGAAGAGATCTAGGCGCCGTCAAGAAAAAAAAAAAAAAAGAAGATAATTTGAACACTGTTCCATTTTCTTCTATTTAAATTGGTGTAAAATAATTTGTTTAAAAATTTAAAAATTTTCGGCCTGAAAAGTTGAAACTTATGAGAGAAGTTATCTTTTATCTTTAAGCAATTGAGCAAGCCGAGCTTATAAACTTTCGAAATTTACAGAACTTTTCCCTTCGGTAAAAGTCTCTCCGTTGGGGGAGAGGTTGTAACAGCTTTAAATAATATTAAAATCTTGTAGTTTAAATAATTTAAATAGATGAACATTAAGGCATTTGTGAATGGCAATATTTGAAACCAGACTCGAGTACCTCGTGCGCCTCTCGCACGAAGAATGTAATTTATTTTTAGATGTTATAGTATTCTTTTTTCTTCTTGTTTGTATGTCGCCTTTTTTGAGTGTTAAATAAAAGTTATTGCTGTGTTCCATCATTGGAGTTGCTTCATATCGCCAAAGAAGTATTACAGTAAACGTATTTATCTGTTACGCAGCTTCCAAAAATCTAGATTATTGCCTTTCGGCAAAGTATGAAGTTTTAATTTATTTTTACAAATTTAATTAATCTATAAACTGTAGTAATATCCACGCTATTTGGCAGCATAAAAGTGATCAAACATAGAATGGATCTTTACTATGCTTTAGGGCTTTTTCATTAAACCGATGTTCTTGGTGGATGAAAGGACTTGCACATGCTATTTGATAACATGACTAATAAAATCTTTTTTACTATCATTGTTACTAATTAGAAATCTCTATTAAGATTTTCTTGTGTTAGTAAAGTAAAAAGAATTATATTAAAGTGCGTTTGTAATATATTTTTATGGGCAGCAATTTTCTGGTTTCATAAAGCTTGATATTTCGCAGATGTAAATCCCCGCGTACAGCAATAATACTGATTCGAAACTAAGAATTATTTGCATAAACAGTAAATTATTTGCATAAACTTTTTTTAAGGAAAATTTGATATTGCTTATTTATTTCTCTTTAGGTGTGTTGGGACGTATTATGGTTGCTTTAGCTGCTTCCGAATTTGCAAGGACTACGTGCGTTCGATTTGTGCCCAGAACAAATGAAACTGATTACCTGTCATTATTCCGAGGAAGTGGGTAGGTTGTTTGAAATTAGCACAATGCATACATTATGGGAGGATATGATCAATTGTACAATACATATGTAAATAATGCATTTCAACAAGGAAGCAGGAAAGTAGTCAACTGGAAATCGCTGTTAAGAATTGGAATGGTGTTTGCTCTTTATTATTACGCAAAAGAAAGTTAAAGTCGAAGAATATAGCAACCAAAACAATAGGTCTCTAAATCTAATCGGAATGGGAAGGTGGCATATCGGCATGGGAATAACCTTTTCCAAAATTCTGATTCACAAGTTGGACGGAATGCTATAACAGTGAGGCGGGTATGGAATTGGTTGATTCATCGGCATTAAATTTCCGAACTGTCCCATTACACCAGGCATGTTAAGTGTACTCAACTACACCAAATAGTCACCAGTTAGAATATATATATGTAAGATGCACTTCAGCGTGTACTTTCCTCTTGGCCAGACGCTTTGCTGCAATAAACTATGTGCTGCTATGGATTGCATCATTTCTATTCTTGATCATTCCATTTTTCATGGCCTGCGCAGCACTTTGACGTAATAATTGGGAAATGAAATTTTTAACTCAAACCAAAACTTTTCTCTTCGTGTGCTTTCATATTGGATAACTATGTACTTTAGCTTCTGTCTGCGCAGTGCTTGTACTCAATTTCGCTGGGCTCGCTTCCTGTCGCAATAATATCATATATATAAATGTAATTGAATTGGCAGGACAAGAGTGCCAATTGAACTGTGGCTACAAATATCAATTGCAACTAAAAATGGAATTAAAACTGCCTGGAATGCCATGTTTTTTTAGGTATTACGAAGTCAACATATAAGCATACTACGCAATCAGAATTTTTCCTTTTTAATATGGATCTACGCTCTGTAATATCTAGGTAATACGCATCGACGCTGCTCCGCCTTTTTCTTGTTTTCATTACACACATATATATATCCACACAGAATTTATTGGCTACCCAGCAGAAGCACACGAGGATGTACACTCAGAAATTCGGTAAAATCTGTTGCACGGTGTAAAATGATTTCAACAACACTGACGTGCCACTACGAGAGGGCCAACATTCAACTCAGGAGACATCATCTGGATGATTTTAGCCGATGGTGCGTCATTGGGAAGTTGGAAGAAACTGGATATGTGACGAAGGATTTCGGGATTTCTTACGGTATCGTTTCACGAACCTGAAAAACATATTTGAACGGGAGAAACAACTTTGCGAGAGTTCCTTATATTATCTCACTGGCGGGAAGAGGCAGGTGGAAGACAGCGGGGGGATATCGCAATAGACATACCGAACAATACAATAGACTACCGAACATCCGATATCACGTTTTACCGTGACATGGGTGCTTCACAAACGTGGTCTATATGCACATAGACCTGAACGGTGTGTGCCATTAACACCTGCTGTCGGAGACGCCGATTTCTGTTCTGCCGAGAATACAAGAATTGAACATAACAGGAAAGAAGTCAAGTCCTCTTCATGGATGACAGCCGATTTAGTCTGATGAGCAATGCTGGATATATACAGATCTAGAGAAAGAAGAGAGTACACAATCTTCCTTTCAACATCATTGAAAGGAATCGTTTCAGAGGAGCGTGTGTAGGTGGCATCAACCTTTTTAGCCGTACAGACATCCACGTCTTCCAAGAAGGTTCAGTCACTTAATCTCCATGATTCTCTTGCCTCATGTACATTTGTTTAAAGGTGCTGTTGATTCGGCCTTTCTCTTAATGGATGACAACGTTATGCCTCATCCAACAATAACTGTCGCAAAGCTCTTACAGTGTAAAGATGGATTGGCCTGCAAGATTCTCGAATCTACATCCCATAAAATATGTATGAAACCTTCCCGGGAGACGTTTGCAGCATGCGACCAGTCGCCAGCAACGAGTCCGCTGCTGAAATGGGCGTTACAAAAAGAATGGGCCGCGATGCTTCAACGGCTCTTAAGGAGCCTTGTCCTCAGTATGGACAGACGTAATTTCTGCATCGCAATCAGGAATGACCATATCTTTTTCCAAAGACTCTGGGTTTCTTGCCAGGGTTTTCATACGGACGTTTTCGTCCTTTGTCAAGTTGTACTCAGAAGTACCTTTACAATGAAATGCTTATTTATCTTTTTCATTTCCTGTTTGGATCGTTTTGGTGACATCTCTTATATTTTGATATTTTGTTATCTTGCTATCTTAATATCTAATCGTATAATTAAGGTCTATGTGGAACACTTCTGAACGACATTACATTCAAAACACGTCTGGTTTTTAAATTTTGCCCGCAAGTGTTGCAAAAGGCATTATAGTGGTAGCAGAGAGTAGAAAAGAGAGTTAGAGGCTTTTCCAAATCAGAGAAAAAATTACGTTTTCTGTGGTTGTATAAGTCATTTAAATAAGTAACTTGCCACTTTAGAAACGTAAGATTCTGCTTTCATGCATTTTTAATAGTTAAAAATTTTTAGAGTTTCTATTCGAATAAATACAGAGCAGTTTAATGTTATTTTGACCCAAGTAGCCTAAACATTGCATCACAAAGTACCTCACGTAAGCAATTACTGCATAACAAGGATAGTCCATGCTTTTATACCTTCCACCCACATTGTAAATAGTAAAATTTCCTTATCACTCACGGCTCTGAAGTAACTTAGCCAAGCGTAGTTGCAGGGTAACATTTTGAATTCAGGTTTAGCAAAAGACATAAATTATATACATTCAGGTTTAGCAAAAGTATATATAAATTTATTCATTTATTTTTACTTTGCCCACGGTTATAATAAACAGAAAATTTAGCTGCTTAAGTTAAAGAAAACTAATGTTAAATGAGAAAGTTTTAATTAATTATTAATGGGATCATTGGAGCTGATGCTACGAGATTTAATGTCTGGTAATTCAAATATTTAATGTCTGGCTCAGTTTTCATAAGGAATAAAAGAACTCATCTTTCAGAAATACGGAAACGGTTTCTCTTTTGGTCATCATATGATAAACAGCACTAAAGCCCGATTCTACAACATATGTAGTAGGGAAAATTATCAATAAATTAAATATAATTTTCAACATATTTCGATATAATGTAGGTATTTTTTTATTCAGGCAAAGGTTTTCGTATCCACCGCTATCAAAATTATATTTACTTTCTTTATCATATTTGAGTTCTAATCGTTCTTCTTGGAAAGCAATATAAACTTCATAAGAATATTGTCTCATCTAACGTATTTTTTGCCGTAAAAAAGTAGACGTTAAATTTCATTTAATCTTTAAACTACCAAGTAATGATGAGCTTGTCTTAAACCTTAAAGAGGAGCAACAGTGGATGTTTTTTAGATTTGAAGCCTTGTATATTGTTATTTTAGTTTGTAAACTACTTTACTGTAAATTTCTCGGGTTACATTCCTGTTAATAGTCAAATGCCATTTCGTTTTTAAGATTCAAATATCGCAGATTCTGAGACTTTTGACGGTATTCTCACTATTTTCATCTTCCTTGACTTTAAGCCATTAGTAATTTTAATTTATTAGTATTTTACTTTTTGATACTAATTTTCATTGCCAAAGGGAGATAGTGACTTTCGCCTTCGCTCGTACCATTTGACCTTCGTCTACAGACTATCAGACAGCTTCTTTCGTATTAGTGTCTCGCTATTTCAAACCGACATATAGGAAGACTTCACTAATTCTACTTTTAGTTTTATACCAGGAACTAAGTGAATGTAATTTGCAACAAGTGCATTAGTTTCCACTAGTATAAATTATTGTTTTGTATTTTCTTATTCGTCCCTTGCGTTGTAGTAGCTCATCCAATTTAGAAGTAAATTTTAGTTAATTGAAATAAACCTTAATAACATCTTTTGTCGGTTGCAATTTATGATAAACTAAAGTTTGCTCTTGATTCTGTCAAATTCTCCTGGCTTTCAAGTTTCCTCCTGCGCTACACTCTAAAGGTAAATTTTTAGCCGTATGGTAAGCGAATATTGAAATTTAATTTCTGTTGTTAAAGATAAAATATATCTAAGTGTCTATAACTGAACCACAATTCAATTAAAATTGTAAGAACTACTGTCATAATTGTGTATTAGCTAACAATTCTCAGTTTGTGTTGGTAATTTATTTTCAGTGGTGTATTAATAACAAAATGGAGAGTTTTTGCTTTTCAGGTAGCTTGTAAGCCTTTCGTTCTTTATTCATAGACTAATAATTACACTTCTTAATATTTACATAACATAAGCTAACCCATTAATTAGTCTGAGTCAAATTTGTACTTGTTTCGGTCAAGAGATGCAAATAAAAGCTACGTAACGGTTAAGAGTATTGGTGCTAAGGTGTCTATCATACGGAGTTTGCTGCCACAAAACTTATCTCGAAGATATTTCTAGAATTCTAGGCTAAAATATATATAGGAACTAATTCATACTCACATTATAGCATAACAAACAACAGCATAATGAATAGAAAATATAATGAACTAAGGCGGCAATTCAGTTAGACCATAACTTTAAAGAAACAAAGAAAATTATCTGCTTTTTCTCTCTGAAGCATTTACTGAAATAAACTGCTGCTGCATTCTTTACAACAATTTTAGCTCATCTGCTTCTCATGATTAAAATGCAAAATATAGGACGCGGTTTGAGGCGTCTGGAATTTTTTCAGAAACTTCAGTTCCGACGATGACAGACGAATAATAGACTGTTTGCATGTTCTGATATTCCCTGTGAGTTTAGGATTTCTATATTATTATTCAAATTAATTTATTAAGTTTTTCAAAGTATATGTAATGTAGTATTTTTGTATTATTTAAATTAGCTTTGTCGTTATTATTTATTCTACATTTAAAACGTTGAATAACATAGTAATTTAAGCTTAATTTTACTCATACAAAGAACAACAGATATGAATAATTGGAGTTCCAGATATTTGGAATTCCGATAAATGGAGTTCTGCTCTGTTTGATTAAATTCAATTAATGATACAGGAACAAACTATTTTAAATATTTTTATTCAAGTCCTGTATGCACTGCAGTAAGTGAATATTATATGCAATATCGAGACTAAATATTGAAAATATTATTGTAAATTAACATTTTGGATAAATACTTTAAATATTTTCAATAAAATAACCAAAATATATTTCTAACCTAAATTTTTATACAGATGCTATTCTGCTGTTGGCCGCGTAGGAGGCGAGCAAAAACTGTCATTGGCAACTGCCTGTGACCGTATGGGAATCGTTATGCACGAATTCATGCACGCACTAGGTTTCTGGCATGAACAAAGTCGTATGGACAGAGATAAATTTGTCACCATTAGATGGGAAAACATAATACACGGTAAGCGATATATAGTCAACTTAATTTTCCTCTCTTTCTTAACACTTGAAACTCCTTCTACCAAGCAAGAAGTCCGAATGAAATAGAAGAACTTTCTGCCGAGAGGCTGAGGCTCAAATCTTTCGTATATTTATACAACGTATATTTATCATAAAAGTATGTTGCTGATCTGCGTGACGAAAGCGTTACCGAAAGCAATTATTATTACTTCATAATAGCATTTTGCAGTAACTGTTATTAACTGTTATACTATTAGTTTATAGCACAATAAAAGGCTAAGGTCACAAAATATGCATCTGTATTACAGAATTTCTAACTTAACATTTTGCCTGCAATGTTAAGACACTCTCTGTCTGAATAAAATATAACAGCAATGGTAAAATTCGTTCAGAAATCTACAGCTTACCATCGTCTTCATTTGTCTTTTTTTAATATGCTTTCAACTAGTATTTTGGTGATATATTTTTACGTTTAGAAAAAAGAGAGAAGCAAAAGCTCAAGCTTTTAAAGTTAAAATGTCGTTTAAGTGGAAATTTTATTTTATTCAACGGCTAAAAATATATTTTATGCTCTGTCAAAAATATAATTTTTTGTTATTGTTTAAATAGAAGCAAAATATGTGTCTGTTTCCCTCTCGTTGTTTCAGCAAAATTTCGTGGAAATGCGAATAATTACGATTTCTGGTTAAGGCCAGTTTACATCTGTCAGAGCCGCTCGTAGCGAGTCGCTCGTCCGTGCGTTTCGAACCGAGTGAACGAACTTGTACTCTGAGAGATTGTTTACACCAAGCAGAGTGGACTGACAGCTCGACTCCGTTTGTTTATACGAAATGGATACCGACATGGCAGCTGCAGGAAAGAATATGCATTGAACATACATAGATGTTCTTTGGCTGCAGTGCTTGAAGTCTGGGAAGCAGTTTCAAACGAATTAATTCTGCTCTGCGAGGGAAAAAAAAAGAAGAAAGAAAAGGAAATGGGTAGTGACTGGGTCTTGCCGCGATGAATTAGGAGTATCAAATGTACTATTAAATGAATTTCGGACGAGAATGTCCAAAGTTACAAAAACGTTATGAATATCAGATAGAAGAATTTAAACGAAACTCAGTTGAGAGAAGTTATTTAGTCAACTGTGGTTACTGAAATTCAAATTAACGAAGTTTTTCTACTATATACAACTGTTTATTTACATCTAATTAATAATTTACAAAAAATAATGTAAAAAGTAATAATGTGTTTTATTATTTATTAATAGAGGAAATATATTTATTCATCCAGCAATCCACAGAATCAATAGCTGTCTGTGCATGTAATTAATTACGCAGAGTTCTGACTGGAACTGTGTTATTTCTAGAGAAGAATGCAAAATTAACACATAAAATTTTATTCAAAGCACGGCAGAAGTAAAATGTATAATATCTACCTAATTATTCAGAAATCTTAAATAAATAAATAGCAAAAAACTTAGGAGCATTACATATATTACCACAGGTAAAAGAAATGTATATTATGACATAGTTCCAACAGGAAGATATTTATCTCAAATTCTTACTTTTGGATCCTACTGAAATTGTGTTTCTGGACAACACACAAAGTGATATCAACAAAATTAATAATGGTTTAAATATAGTGATTATTTTACTTTTTAAAATGCTTAAAACGGATAGTCTAAGAAGATTAGAATTCATCTAGCATAATTTGTATAAGCCTTAATACACTTCACACATCCAAGCTGAACATGTTTCACATCCAAGCTGAATTGTAACGAATTATAGCCCAGAATGCTTTTATACAAAGAAGAAATTTAAATATCCACAATAAAACAGATTTATTTATTTTTTCATAATTCCATTTTTATTTTTATAGTTTCTAATATCATATATTTATTGAATTCTCATGTAGGGATGCTTGTAGAAGAATGAATATAAGCTCACATAATTATAGAAGTATGTCAACTTATTAATGAAGCAGTGAAGTGTTTCCCTAACACTTCATGAGGATGCGTATGCATTAAAAAAGTGCCATTGTTTGGCTATCGCTCAATCTCAGCATTTTCGACATTATAGAACTCGCTGTCACGACGTTCCTGCGAACGCTGCTTGGAGTAAACTGCCCAGATAGATTTTTCAACAGGTTCAAATTAGAAACGGAAGCGCTGACTCATCTCCCCTACGTTTCTACTCCGTCGAAGTGAGCGTTTACACTAACAAAGTAATCGTAAAGAGCGGCTCGCTCCGAGCCGCTCTGACAGGTGTAAACTGACCTTTAGCTTATCTATTATACGGATGCATGCGTAAACACCTCTAGATACTGTTAGTTTATTTACATGTCACACGCATGAAATATTAGATCATTCTTCTTAATAAGCAGTCCAGTTTTTGACTGGCGATAACTCTTCACGCTGTAAGGATACGGAAGAAAATTACGATGATTTTGGTCATATGACATCTCATTCAGTAAAACTGTGTGAATTTAAATTTATATATGCCATTTCTAAGAAAAAGTATCCAGAACAGAAGTACTTTTCATAACCAATGAAGTCAATCAGTTAAAAAGAGAAAATGACATATTTGCTTAGAATCAAACTTATTCAAGGTAGTCTTAATTAAAGCTTATATTTCGAATACATATGTGTATTACTGCCGACGAAGGATAGAGCGTGCTTATTGATTAGCACTGACATTTCATAACTTTTATAACACTTTTTTATGTTTTTTCTCATAATTTCCTGCTGTTGAATGAATACTTTTTACAATATAGTGTATCTTTCTGACATGTGCTAATTTTAGTAACCGATTTCCATTCACTTTGTAAAACCACATAAGGGATTAGCGATGCTTCTGTGATAATAAACAGATGTTGAGGTAATAGCATATCAAAGTCTCTCAAAGTTAATGTAGGTAGGGTATCATTTCATACTAAATCAAGGACGCTACATGTGTTTGTTAGTCACTTTCGGTATCTCTCATAATTTTCGTGGTAAGATCGACAGCTTTTGACTTTTTGATCGTTGGAGTCAGTCTCATACTATACGGCGTAGCTACTTTACTGCATGTAGACATATCGTTTACAACTTTAGCTTTCTGAGTTCGGAAGTTATTTAGGTATTTAAATACTTTATTGTACATCTCATATACCACGTGACACACTGAAAAATTTAAAATTACAAGCTAGTTATCATTGTTGCAATACTGAAATGTCTATTTATTGCATTCTGTATATTATATAATGTAGTACATTTATTAGTACAACAAGTATACTGCAATTTCTTCGGGCCATCATTATCAAGTTTAATTTACATTGATTTCCACCGACATATCACCAAAAATGTGCAAAACGTTTCGGTATTAAATTGATTTTTCGTTATCAAACTGCTCTTAATAAAGTTGGCTTGAAAAAGATGTAATGAAAAAAACTCTTGCATTGCAAATCACTATAATTTGATTTAGTAGAAGAAGCAGCAGATCGGAGTTAACAAACATGTTCACGAAACTTCTGCTGTTACATGTTTTGAAAGCTACGGGTTCATGGGTTACAGCCGAAAACATCGCGGCAAAAACATCGCGGACGAAAACGTCGCGGAGAAAACAACGCAAGGCGAAAACGTCGTGCTACAAAACATCGTGGGAGAAAACATCGCAAAGAGAAAACATCGCAGTTCTAAAACATCGTGGTACAAACATCGTCGTCGAAAATAAAGCGGTTCAAAAAACTTCGCAGTTTAAAAAAAAATCGCCGTCGAAAATATCGTGGTAAAAAATAAAGTATCTACAAATCATCGCATGACGATAACATCGCAGACATGCTTTTTCAGGCTTTAATAACTGTAAATGGATATTCCCATAATGATTTGTGAGCGCAAGTGATGTAGGAAGGAAATTTTTACTTTCACATTTTTTATTAACTAATAAATTTTGCTGAAAATATAAGAAGGAAACTTAAGAATAGAAAATTAAATGCAACTATAGATTATACTTTTTATGAAAAATTACCTGTAAAATCTTTATAAAAATGATTTATTAATGGTCTTTGTTAGTTAAACTATGTGATTTAAAATTCTATTAAGTTTGCATTAATTTTTTATGCTTAAGTTTTTCTTCTTATTTCTCAGCAAAAATTAATATTAATAAAAATATGAAAGTAAAAATATCCTTCTTTACATCTTGCGCTCACAAATCATTATGGGAATATCCATTTACAGTTATTAAAGCCTGAAAAAAGCATGTCTGCGATGTTATGCGATGTTATCGTCATGCGATGATCGTCATGCGATGATTTGTAGATAAACTTATTTTTACCACGATATTGTTCGACGACGATGTTTTTAAACTGCGAAGTTTTTGGACAGCTTTATTTCGACGACGATGTTTTCTACCACGATGTTTTAGAACTGCGATTGTTTTTCTCTTTGCGATGTTTTCTCCCACGATGTTTTGTAGGACGTTTTCGCCTTGCGTTGTTTTCTCCGCGACGTTTTCGTCCGCGATGCTTTTGCCGCGATGTTATCGCGGACACCGGGTTCATGGATGCCTCTTCAAGTAATCACTCCAGATGAGCAACAAGAAATTGACAATTTAATGTAACTATAATAATACACAGTAAAATAAGTAGCTGTAAATAATTCAAAATAAACTCAGATATTAGTCAAACTCTCTTTAACCCACGTAAATTACCGATATCATTGACAGAGTCAATTCCAAAAGCAATTACTCTATTTTGTCAAGCTAACTCTGTTTTAATCTCAGCCTTTCTCATAATCACTCAAAAGAGACTTAAAATTAATCGCGGGGTCATATTTTTATGTTTTACTAAGCCTTCTGGAAGCTTAGCAAAAAATTGCTGCTAGAGATGCGTTTGCTCCAAACTTCCGAAAGGTCTCGAAGTTGGCATGAAATAGGAAAATGTCATTAACTCCTTGACACGTTTTGTCGCCAAGGCCGGTCAACAGCCGTTTTAAACCATAACGGTTATTTTACTACCTAGATATTTTTACGATTTAAACGAAGCTGGAATCAGAATAACAAGATCTACAATTCTATATAAGAAATAAGTAACTATGTACAAAATAGGTTTCGCAAATTCTATTGTAAAAAAGTATATCGACCAAATATTTAAGTCTGCAAATATATAATTTTATAAATAAGATATACTAATATTTCATATTCTTATATAATTTAATAAATAAAAATATACTAATATTTCATATTCTTATATAATTTAATAAATAAAATATACTAATATTTCATATTCTAATTAATAATCGAATTAGGGCTTTTATCATTTGGCAACTATATGTTAAAGACGTTAACTGCACGTAAAGACAAACTTTGGTTTTGCTGACTTACATGTCTTGAGTTTAATCTATGTGTAAAATTATTTATATATCTATATGCATAAAATGTATGATTAATAGAGAACAGATAAAGAAATCGATCAAATTTATCTTTAAAATAATTTTTATTTATAATTTTATAATCAAAAATGCCATTTTGAATTTGCAAAGATATTTACAAAGGATTTAAAAAATAGCTTAAAAATTCCCAAATCCTTAAGTTAGAGTAAATACAAATGGAGATTCACTTTATTAAAGAAAATATTAAAAACTGAAACATTTGGCAAATTCACTACTTATGGTAGAACAAAATGTACGGCGGAGATAAATTTCTTTCACAGAACATGTAGGAACTAGTTAGAAGAACCATTATTTTAATAGATGTACTTTATGTAGAACTGTAAGTTTTCGGAACTATAACTTTCAGAGAGGAACTATAAGTTAAAAGACATTTCTTCTTGATGCAATAACTTATAATTTTAATGTAATTCTATTGGTTAAAATTCCTCATCTATTAATAAAGATTGTTTTCTACTAGCGTCAGCGTTTATTATCAAGGAAAGTTTGTGCAATAGTTTCATGACCATGAATAAGTCTATGCGTTTCAAATGCCTTTTTATAAATTCTACATTTGTTTTGTTTGACGAATCTTAGAAAACTGATAAAGTGTGAAACTTTCTGACATGCTTACACATAATTTTGCTTCATTTATAAAAGCATGCTGCATGTGAAGCTCTAGTATACAAGATTAATCTCTAGAATGTCTCCCTATGTTTTTTAGCTTATCTCACAAATTTCGTGTAAAATAACAATTATTGTCTAGAAAGGCCTAATGTTTTTTCCTATATAAATAGTGCAAACGAATTTTAGATATAATTAAAAGAAAAGTGCTAGGAAGGAAGTATTTTAGATTAATCGTCACATGCTGACTATAAAAGCAATCAAAACAGGGAAGATCATTTTTATGATATCACAATATAATTTTTATGATAGAGGATATTGCGAGGAAGCGCATAGAATGAGTATCCTCGCAATATCCTCTATCATAAAAATCATTTTAATATAAACTTCGAGTGCTTTGCCATAATTAATAAAAGCAGCCGACAAAACCTTTCGGAAATTTAGTTGATTTTAAGATTGAGAACTTCTAATCCTTCTAGTCGTAACTACTTTAAGTTCATGATTTCTGAAAGTGATCATTTTTTATGAGAACATAAATAATTATCTTTTCGAGCATAACTTTTTTAAGATGACCGTCTCTATAGGAAACCGAAATCATATGGAACTGTCTCAAAGAAATCTTAGTTGTCTTTGAGAAGGATTTCTGTACCTCCGAGGTTAAAAATACACCGTTCGATCATTAACATCTGCGTCACACATACTGTTAGGCGCTTTGGGTGTGAGGATGTCAACCTGTTCAAAATATTGTAGACTATTTCTATTCTACTTATACAAACTTCCTTTCAGTGATAATAAATATTGTTTACCTTACTCTCATTTAATCCTAGGTACAGAGAACAACTTTCAGAAGTACAATTCGTACATTCAGCAATTATTAGATGAAGAATATGATTATGGATCATTGATGCATTACAGTCAGAGAGCCTTCAGTAAGAATAATAGGCCGACAGTCGAACCTAAAAATATAATAGCCGGTTTAATAATAGGACAAAGAATTGGCTTTAGTGCTACTGATATCAGGAAGATTAACAAACTGTACAACTGTACAGATTACTTATGAAAGTTTCTGTTTCTAATGAATGTTTTCTTTTTTTCTTTTTCTGTTCTGTTTCTATGAAAGTTTGAAAAGATTTTGGTTTCTCTGGATATGATAATCTGTGTCTGAAATTTGGTTTTGTAATGGTGACAATTAGAAAATATCACATACCTTTAACTGTCCTTTGATTTATATTAAAAATATTACCAAAATTAAATGTTTGTAATTCCTGTAAGTCTTGCTGTATGTTTATAAAATAATTTGAATTTATATATATAAGTATGTAGAATAATTCTTAGAAAAATGTAAACATATGTATGAATTTTAAATAAAATGCAATTCTTCGGATAAACTTGTTTCTTTCATTTATTAGTGCAACGCTCAAAAACGCACTCGAAAGCTTTCAGCTGTTAAAAAGTCAAAGGAAATTAATTTGCGATTCGATACAATAACAATATAAAACAATAAAAAATTATAGATAAAGATAATTAAACAAAAACAGAAACAGATCAGTCCTCGTCGCCGAAAGAAATGAAATAAGAGCGCAAATATGTTAAGAATTATAATTTTAATTAAATTATACGCAATTAATACTAATACAATATAAAAATTTGTTAAAAAATACAATTTATATGAAATTAATTCTGTTGAAATTGCATTGAAAAAAAACTTTAAACATACAGTAACACAAAACAAACGTCTTGTAAAAGAACACAGTTACATAAGTTATGTAACTAAATACAAGGCATTTAAACGTCTCGAAAAGAAAGATTAATTTCGGCACCTCAAAAAAAAAAAAAAAAAAAAGAAAGTGTTCAACACTACTTGATAAGAAAAAAAATTCCGAAGTGTTCAACACTTGAAGCGAATCAAAGTCAGTGCAACATGGTAGTATGGTGCGCGAAAATTAAAGAGTTATAGGCAATGTGTTTTTCAACAAGTATGAAAGTTCTTATCTTATTTGGAAAGTAGAATATTATCAAAAATGGTATTAAAATGTGATTAATTTCTTCTGTTCCAATTTAAGTGTCCAAAGTTGTTTCCATCGAGGAAATCAAGTGACGATATTATTGGTGTATTGGTGTATTAGATTACGGCAAAGCACTCGAGGGCTATCTGCGTTAAGGGAGGGATGCCTTCGTGGAGGACTTTTTACGGGAAACTGGCTCGTATACACGTTACACATGGGGAAAACCACGAAAACACCCATGCAGCCAGCCCGTTCGCGGGATTCGAACCTCGGACCGAACTACCAGTGTTCAGCGACGTTACCGCTCGGCCGCTGGTGGGCCAAGTGACGATATTAAAAAAAAAAAAAAAAAAAAAAAAAAAAAAAAAAAAAAAAAAAAAAAAAACACGTGTTTTGATGTTACATGCTACAAAATGTTTTTTTTAGTTTCTCTCTAACTACATCATTATAAATAACTTACTCAATAATTTTTTGAAATCTGAAAATATACTGTTTTCTTAGAACATTGTTTTTAATTTAACGGATGAAAGAAAAAGAAATAGCCCTGCTTTATGAAATATCAAATTAAAATGTATAAGTATTCTAAGATTTTATTCAGGGAATGTTATTAAATTTTATTGTTATTAGTAAGTATGCGTTTTATCAAAAATTTAAATTAATGTTAAGAATTTTGGAATTATTTTGTTAACAAGATAAGAATTTTGGAATTATATTGTAAATAAGATTATTATTTAAAAATATAAATTTTAAGAATTTTCTAATTATTTTAAAAATGATGTGTATATGAAATATGAATGAAATAATTATTAAATGGGAGAATATTCAATATTGCTAAATTAATATAGAAATATCAAAGATTTAAATTGAATAGTCATAATACAATTTATATGAGAATTTAATTAAGAGTAAAACGTATTAAAATTTGTTTGGAATTATGGTAAATAAATGTTATAATTATAAATAATTGTGTGTTAGATATAAAGTATGTTGAGGGAGTACTGATTCAGAAACAAAGGCATGTTTTACCTCTGCATAATTGTTCCTTTTGGCCTCCTCATATAATATAAACTTTGAAGGTTCCCACTTTATTCAATGTTTTATATAGGAGTTTTATTTTTTCATATAATGAAGTGTGATTTTTTTTAATATAACGGAATGTTTTAGTGTAATTTACAGAGGCCAGTTACTTTAAATAAGGAAATGAGGCCTTTCCAAGTAACTACCGGGTACCCCCCTAAAAACTCATTAAAATTTAATACATGAGTTCGTTAAAGTGGATATGCCAAATAGCTGGACATGTGTGTACTAGGAGAAAGCTATGGGATCTTCCAGTTTGAGTAAAATAAAAAATTGTAAAATGTCATTATAAAAGTAAAAACCATCGTTTCAAAAATGCTATTACAAATGATGAAATATTACTAATAAATGTGAAAATTAGTATGGTGTAAAATTTTAAGGTTTATGGTTTTCGTAATAATTAATGGGAATATAAAATTTTCATTATTGTGATATGTATGTAAACATTTTTGGAAATCCTTTCCTGAAGTATCAAAATTGTCTTAAGATTGTACTATTTTGAAAACAATCTGTTTTAGTGTCAATTATATTCATAATTTCCGCGAATTTTTTCTTCTCTATTTTAATGCAACTTTGACATCTACAGAATTCTTCTTTAATTCATTAATATCAAAGAATAATTGATGAAGAATTTTTCTTGCATGCGATTATTATCCATTTAGCAAATGTATTTAAGTAACTATTACTTAAATTTATTTTTCGCTTTCTGTTTTACATTTACTTTATCTACAGCTCAATTATTTTTCATTCATTTTCATCGTCAAGCAACAACAATACAATATCTGAACACAATACAATGGTAGGTATTTTCGAAAGAAGACCAGACGAAATATTTTTAAAACGCTCACCATATTTAATAATTTATTAATAGGCTGCAACAGCAGCTCATTCCAGTAGAAAAGTCGGTCATTAATTAGCAGATATAGTAATTAAGCACAGAATCTTCTTGTCTGCGTCAATAACATAATCCGGTACAATAGAAAATCATTAATGAAACAGCCTCCATCATCAAGAATAGGATCTTTATTGAAATTCCTTTAGAAGCAAAGCGAGTTGACACATATCTATGCAATGCTGAAATATGATGGCAAAATTACGGTGTTTCATACTTATGGAAACACATCAAATCCCCAAAGAATTTATAGGAAACAAAGCAATAATAAAGAAAAAGAAGAAAAACCAACAAAGAGACATTTATTACAGATATAATGCAATACAGGCATACTACCTATTTAAATACAACGGATGTTTCCAAAATTCTAGGAAATTAATCTATATTTTTTTTTATTTCGTCAGTTTTCATTAATATTACAATGCAGATTTTCAATATAACTGAGTACCAAAAATCTATCCGAAAACCAAACTTTTTCAGCTGCCCTCGAAGACATTTTCCCGTTTATTCGCTGAGTTCTTGTACGTAAGTAACAACTCCAGAGAAGGGTTAAAATACCCTTTTATTATAACTCAAGAAGAGATTAACAGTCGTCCACTGGCGTTGGGGTACAAGAAACTTCCCCTCTAACTTTAAATAGAAAACGTAAAACTAACTAATCCTAAACAGATTTAATCAGCGGAAGCTGCACAGAATCAAACTTGCGTAGTCGGCTCTTAACTAAAAATCACTGACTTAATAGGTACTTTTGTAGAATAGCAAGCTTTAACTATAGCAACAATGTGGCAGAAAGGCAGAACACGCCGTCTTACTGAAGTAACTCAAACCTCAGCTTAAATACTAGTTGCTACCTTCTTTGCGTAAAGCTTAATACTAAAAACTCATTGAACTCACTGTAAAGTTTTTTTCAGATTTCGGAACAGATGTGGGAACAGGAAGTGTGAAAATAGAATACTCCTCAGATACCTTAAGCAATTTCTGAAGTTTTCGCGCCCTTTTCTCATACAAAGAAAACGTATTCCTTTCCCCACTGTCTTCACATTTTCTATAATAGCAGATACAGTGCTAAAAAATGTATCTGTCTCAGTTAAACAACTGAATTGAAGTAAGCAATACTACAGGAAATAGCTGCATAAACATGACAGGACTTGTCTCTGAAGTTCTAAGAATTGATTTAGAGGTCAGATTTAGTAAAAGATTTAACGAATGCATTTTCTTTGTTTATGAGACAAGTGTCTTTATGTAATGTCCTTATGTAATAGTGCCTATAGGCGGTCATTTCGGTTTGTTTGTCTGCAGATGAACCTGTCTGGAAAAACACCAGGCTTGTTGTCTTTAAAACACGATTTAAGTTATGTACTTTAATATTTATTATTTCATAGCAATATGCCGAGAAAACTGCACGTTTCTATTACTCTAAATACCTTGGTTTGAACACTACTATAATACTGCTGTTTCATCTTACTTTCATATCTGACGTAACTTTGCTGCTGCAAAGTAAGAACTCATTTGTGAGGAATTTATGGTCTCTTGTTACTTCATTTTTATCAATGACGCTTTGGGAAAACATTTTTCTTTATCTGAAGTTCGTCTTTCTTCAGCTTCTTTGGAAAAAAAAGTTTCAGTGCTAGTCATAGAGCTATTCAAGTATATTACAAGGAATGCATTTTCTATATAAAAATATTTTCAGTGTAAAATATACATTTTATATATTTCACTCGAACAGAATTTTTAAGCTTTAACTGATGCATATAAAAATAGGCGTGTCTCTTGAAAAATAGATATATATAAAAATAGACGTGTCGATCTAATAGATTCTTTAGTAACGCTAAGTAATTTGCTATGGTAAGCTATGACGTATCGTCAAATAATTTATTTTGAAGCTTATACGCACCGTTTCAAGGCTTAAATAGGCTATTTTGGTAAAAGCATGGTATAAAATATTCACAATATTGTTATGGGTATAGGAATAGAAATTCTGTCTCTTTTTGTGTGCTTTTTGCTACTTTATGAATGCAAGTAAATTGACTAAAGCAGCCTTAATAGCAAACATTTTCGTTTGTTCCATCTTTAATACTCTTTTTTCTTTATCATAAGCTATGATAATGAGTTCCAACATTTTTTTAATTGAGTTTTAAAACAGTAGTATGCGAATGTATACTTAGTTTTATAAAGTTTCTTTGATGAAATGTTTTAGCTTTATACAACATCTGGAGATCTAGTTAATGAAAGTATTAAGTTTTAAACCTACTTTAAGGTTTGGGATACTTTCAGAAATGAAGACTGAATTTGATGCATTTATATTTATTCAGTTATTTCGTGCAACGATTCAAACATTATGAATTGAGAAGGAAATAAAATTACATATTCTAATGCTGTTGT